CGCGGAAGAAGAAAGGAAATATGTCGACAGAAGAACCCACGACGACAGCGGTGCCGGTGCGCCAATCACGCCGTCTGGCGGGAGGTGCCCCGGAGTTTGGACTCCTGGACAGCGAACGCCTACTACGGAAGAAGCCTCTGGCCACGGGTCTGGTCCCATTGGAAGACGATGACGGCGCCCGAGTATCGACTCCAGGACGGAAGTGGGAAGCTGACGGGTCGCCAGACGTGTAGCCCCCGACCGACCGTCCAGAGACGCGGTCACCGTTGAAGAGACCGGCGCTGGCGTCGGCGGCAGACCTGGCCTTAGTGCCTACGACTCCCCTGGCCAGAACCGGTACCGACGGTCCGACCCTGACCCTGGCTAGAACTGGTACCGACGATCGTGAGTCCGATGCCGAAACCTTAGAGCGCTATTCGATACCTGTTCCAACTCCCGGATACACCTCCCTAGTCCAAGAGGGGTACGGGGGTACGGTATCAGGAACGCCTACTGGGACACCTACCTGGAACGGTCCCGGAGTACCAGGTAATACCATCGTAGCCACGATCACGGTGACCACCGGAGGGATACGGGACATCCAGAAGGCCTATGAAGAATTCACTCGGGGCATTGAAGAGCAACAACGAACGGCGTCCCTACTGTTTTTCCAACAAGCCAACGAGCACCGGGCTCGATTACTGGGTGTTCAGGAGTCCCAGTTGGTAGAGATGGCCGAAGGATTGCTACGGGCCGCGGAAATCCATGAAAGTCGCCGCCAAGATGAGTTCCAGAAGGCACTGACCTACCTCCGGGACTGCTATACTCGGAAACTGGACGTTGCCCGGGCTCAGATAACCAACGAAGCGAACGAGGCTCTGCTCCGGGAAGCGGAAAAGAATACCCTCTCCTGGGAGGACCGGACCCGGGAACTTCAAGGACAACTGGCTCTTAAATGGGAACAACGTGAAGCCCTCCTGGTACGGGACATGGACTCCGACCTCCTGGTGGCCCGTCGCCTGCATGAAGAAGTCCTGTCCCAGGTCCAGAAGAATGCGGAACGGGTTCTCGAAGTGCGCCACCAGGAGGACCACCTGCGTCACGAGGCCTCATGTCCAGTCTCCGGAAGAATTCCGGACCCTCAAGCGGAACCATCAAGAGGAAATCCTACGAGTACGGGAAGCTGCCCGTGACGAGGACACATCGAAGGGGGTTGCTTATGACCTACTTCAGTCCCAGTATGACCGGGACCTGGCTTCGGCCCGGGATGAGGTCCAGTCGAAGGCTTCTGAACTCGAGTCGGTACAGGAGGCATTCCGGGAGTCTGCGAAGGTCGCCTGTGAAAATTGCTAGATCCTGGAAAAGGAAAAACGGGACCTCCGCGAAGCCCTATGGGAACGGGAACGGAGTCTGGAAGAGGAAGTACAGCGACGCCAAAGGATGGAACGAGTCTGGGAAGTAGAGCATCGGCGTCTCCGGGAGAGCGAAGAGATGGTCCAGGAGCTCCAGGAGTCTATCCTGACCGAGCAGAATCGGTACGAACAGTCCCTGCTTTCGGAACAACCTCGAACAGTTGGTCCAGGAGCAGTTCATGACACTTACCCAAGATCGCGCTCAGTCCGGAGAAGATCCTTCGCCCGGAACAAGGGATCAGCTGGAACGCGAGAGGCACGCCAACGAAGAGGTGTTGCGCCAAGTAGAGGAAGCTCGCTCCTGTTTGGAAACGGAGAAATTGCAGTTGAGGGATCAAGAAGCTACCCTGTTCAGGGAACGGTCGGTCCAGGACCTCACAGTGAGCCGTGCGTATGCGGAGTTGGAACGCCAGCGGACCCAGCTACGAGTGGAACAAAGAGCTGTGGATCTCCAACAAAGGCAGGCCTCATAAAATTATGCATATGCATAAACTACATAAACTAAGCTAATTTATGCATACCACCAGCGTTAGTTTATGCAATTGGCGAAAGCTATTCAATTATCATATGATTGCGCATTTATTTCATATAGTACTACTTTACAGTCGTTACTGCAAAACAACGCGCTGCTTGGCTTGAAAGATGCCCTCCAACGACAGGTGCATCAAGTCCGTCCGGTTCGGATCCATCTCCCATTTTAGGATCGAAAAGTCAGATTCGACTGAGGTAGTGTTGGGAAAGGTGGTCGCCAGTCCACCGCAGAACGCGCGCAGATGCAGCCATTGATGAGGTGAGATATCCCAGGCATCATCGAAAGTGGCGCTATTGTCGTGTTCGTCAATAGTGCGGCGCAGGATGGGGTTGTTCTTATATGCGGCGACCAGCTGGCGATGATTTTCCTCGACCTCGTCGATGTCGACATCACACCAGAAAAGTAGGATGCGCTCACGATGCTGGTCTAGCACATTACGGATGAAGTGAGCCGGTCGAAGTCCAACTAGTTGACCAGGTAGAACTTGAGGTGCATCTTTCTCCCGCGGCAGGTTGCTGTCGTCGCGCTCTGCACAAACGCCCTGCAGCTCGATCACCAGAGTCTCCGCATAGGCCACGATCTGATTTAAGACGGTAGCTATGTCGGCAACATCCAAGCGCAGAAAGCAGTCCCGGGCCATTGATCCCTGGTCCTCGATCAGGATGATGAGGTGGTCGGTCCGGATACGCATTGTCTCAAATCGCACGAAGTTGTCGTGCTCCTCAGCGACAGCGTCGTCGGGATCGATCAGTTCAAGGTCGAACATGGTGCTGATCGTGGCAACAAGCGCCATGATGTGGCTCTCCTGCTGCGCCATGAGCAGCGACCGGTTCTGCAGTTGGGCGAACGCAATGTTGATTGCGTCGATGGCTGGTGCGATAGCATAGGTCACGGTCCACCATGCGTCAGTCGGCAGCATATCGGGGCGATCCTCCTCGGTGTGCGTCATCAGCCTGCGACGGTTTTCCTTCAAGAATTTAAGCACGTTTCCGAGATGCACCCAGCGGTTCGTCTTCTTGGGGGCACTTGACGCCCATCTCGATGATCAGATTGAACTGGGCGCGCAGGTAGACGGTGTAGGAGTAGGCAAACTTGATCCATGTCCCGCCGTCGATTCGGTCAGCACACTCCTTGGCGATGATGTCGATCTGGTGCGGAGCGCACCAGACACGCATGACATTGTACTCGGCGGCAGCCACAAGCCTCGTGACTAGGCCGCGGTGGCGCCCGGTCATCGTATTCTCGCCGTCGCTTGACACGCCAATCAACTTCGCCCGCCACTTAGGGAAGAGCGCGTCCAGGAGTTTGACAATCATGTTGAACATGTTCTCGGCGGTGTGGCGGTCGAACATCGGAAGCGCGACCAGGTGCAGGTTCAGTAGACGGCCGTGCCAGTACAAGCGCAGGCGGAGATCGAAGAATGACTGACCGCGATGGGTGCTACCGTCACCGGCCAACGAGAACGCCCACACCTGCTTGTCATTGTTCAGCATGTCGCCAATACGTTGGAGCGCGACTGCGACTTGCACGCGGACATACTGGCCGACGATGAGATCGTTGATGCCTGCCAGCTTGGGTCCAGTACTTTGGCCCGATTTTTGGCGTGCCCGATTGCAAGCGCCGTCTGCTTAAACGACATCCCTGCACCAACGTGATCGATCGCTAGTTGGTACCGCATGGTGTTCTTGATCACCACCGTGTACGAAGCCGCCCCATTCGACGCTCGCTCCCCCTGCTTGAACAGCAACATTGCGTTGTTCTTCTGTTTGGCCAATTTGTTGATTTTCTTGGATGCTGCTGACGCCGCGTCCTCTCCGGCGTCGTCGCAGTCCTCCTCCTGGATAGCCTCCGCGTTGAAGAACAGCCCTCCGATGATCGTATCAACGATGGGCGCCTTGATCGTGTACTCGATTGAGTCGCTGGTCAAGTCCATATGGACGTGAAGCGTGTTAGTGCTGCTAATCTTGTCGTTGAAGTATTCTTTCTTCGCTGAAGTCGACATCTGCTGGTATGCGTCCCACGATTCCTTGTGCTGACCGTTCAGGTGACTTCGGTAGTTTAAGGGCGTGAACGGCTTGGTGAAGTACTTGACGTCGACGCGACTTTTGCGCTTCCGGGTTCCTCCCTCCGTGATCTTCACCTTGTCGCGGCCCTCAAAAGTGCAGAAGTTGCACCGCACCATCGGGTTGCCGTGCTGGTCCCTGGAGACGATCTCGAGGCCGAACTCCAGACAGTGCTTGGACTGGAATGGAGTGGTGCGCGGCGGCATTGGGCTCGTTTGAGTCAGTAAAGACTAATGAGTGTAAAAAAAATGTCTTAGTTTATGCACGCAGTTGACCTTTCTTTATGCAATTGCAGAGCTATTTTTAGAATATGCATAATTTTATGAGACCTGAACAAAGGACGCCTCAGAAAATGAACAATGCCCCGTACGCGACATATGGGATCCCGACTCTGTCCCGGATGGGGTCTCCGTCTAAAGGAAGCGGCGGGATCACGCATATTTCTTTTACTACGGCGCCCTTGCTCCCGGCCACCCGCTCAAACACGTCTACGCCTCGCCGAGCCTTCGACCAAACCTGTTTTATGCAGCAGACTGAGGTGCTGACGGAATCAACTTCGCTCCGGATGCCACCAAAGTTTACAGTCCGGAACACCACGCCGCTACCGTTTGTGCCGACGTCGGCTCCCATGTCACGACCCAACCGCGATGCCGACTCGTACCCGTCCTCGGGGGCTTATGGCCAGCAGCTCGGAGCAGGGTACACGCAGTCATCCCCTCGTGCAACCAGGTCGGGGTATGCCCCTCCGGCCTCCTATGGTCCGGAACCCAAGGGTGGAGGTTTACAGCCCCGGGGCAGCTACGGGGGTGGTTAATCAGGTCGAACGAATCCTCCCGCACCTCCTGGAAGTGGACCGAATGGGGGTGATTATGGTGGACCCTTTGGTGGCCGAGGTGGCCCTCCGGGACCTCCTGGTGGTGGAGGATCTGGAGGGTACTACGGTGGTTCTCCTGGCCCTCCGGGAGGCGGCCCCGGGGGAGACGGCACTGGTCCCGGACAGCCCCACTCACCGTTCGGCTTCCCGTCAGGCTATGTCCGATGCTTGGAAGTACGCGCCCAAGTTCGATAGTGTTGACCGGACCATCCCTTTGGAACATTTTCTGGCGAAGTTTGATACCATCCAGAAGGAGTACGGGCTCAACGATACCCAGGTCGTTCGAATCTTCGATGACCGCCTGACATCCTGTGGGGTACTTTCCGTCCAGGACTGGTGGGCTCGACGGTGCCGTGACAGCGAACCCGTCTCCTGGGTGGAGGCTCGGGAGGCTTTCTGGAAGGAGTTCATTCAGAAGACACTGAGTCGAAAGATGGCCGAGATTACTGACAACTCCCACCGAAAGTCTACGGAAACCGTCCGGGATTATGCGTGGCGGATCGCGGACGCCTCCCGGGAGGCTGGATTGCAGGCCAATAGGGCCGTGGTTATGATGATCAATGGATGTAGCGATGCGGAAGTGGCCGCGTGCCTCCGGGGAGCCTATGTTCGACCTGAGACTATCGAAATCAGCCTGGACTACCTGATTGAGCGAGATGTGGACATCGACAGATGAACGGATGGTTCCCGATCGGTCCCCCGGACGACACCAGTGGCTCCGTCGACGCCGACCAGGTCCACTCGGAACACGTCCCGGACCCAATCCTCTTCGACGCCCCATGGAAATCTCCAGGAGCTCCAGGCCTCCATCTCACGACTTCAATGGGACATGACGAGCTTGACTACATCTAACAACGACCAGTTTTCCTCCATCCAAGATGTCGTCGCCATGATCTCTACGGACAACCCGGCAGGAAACAACCCGGTACTGCCCCGAATCTGCATGGATCCGGACGATGAAACTAGTCGGGTGAGGTCATTTGCGGGAGGTGTACCATGCGGGGCTACTCTCGTGAACAGTGTCCTCGGTTGTCGTGGTTCTGTACTCGGTGCCGCTCCAAAGGCCACGGACTATCGGAGTGCAGCCTGTCCCGGGACAACGGAGGTCGGGGTCTGGGACAAACCCGAACGGGACCCGAAGGACGATCAGGACCCGGAGGACGAGGAGGAAATGCAACCTGTTACACCTGTGGGAAGATGGGCCATTTGAGCTGGGGTTTCCGGTAAACGCGTCCAAGCAGAGCTCTATGCCGACCCACGTCGTGGCTGCTCTGCAATCCTGGTATATGTCCGACAACAAGATATCCATGGAAGGCAACCCCGACCCCGATAAACAATGAGGACTCGGCGGTCTGAACCAAGCCGCCGGATGTGGCGTGGCACTGACCGCGAGATTACAAATGACCTCCGAAGATGATAACAAACAAAGTACACGTAGCCCTGGGATATCCTCGCCCTCTCCGGAGGATGAGGAAGGATCCCAGGACTCAAACAAGATGGAAGATACCTCCCCCGGGGTGGTACGGGACTCGACGACAATCGAACCCTGGAATGCTCCAGGGCTGGGCGACGATACGAAGAATGGCATGGCGAGCCGACCCCCGCAAACGAAGGGAATCCCGGGCTCTGCGTACAAGGACATGCAAGAAGAGGGCAGGATACAGGAGCGCCCTGAAGACAGGCTACAGACAGAAGCCAGGATGCTACCTCCCTCAGATAAGAGGCACGGGCCGAGTGCGCAACCGCGCCCCGTGCCGCTCCCGGAAGACAGCACCGTGAGCGCAGGAGAAGGTGAAACGATTGGAGCCCCGGGAGCGAAAGCGACCTTACAGCAGCAGACGGACGTAGCAAGAGGGGGCGACGAGGCGCCTGGAAGAAACAAGACAATTGGAGAGACCTCCGGGACCACGGGTGTATACACAGGACCCAGCGCCGGGGATGACTCGCGTCGACAAACGGACGGGAGCGAAGACAAGGAAGAGAAGGGCATGTATGCAGAACCCTCAAAAGAAGAGAAGAGCATCAAGACTAATGGAGAGACCTCCGGGACCACGGGTGTATACACAGGACCCAGCGCCGGGGATGACTCGCGTCGACAAACGGTCGGGAGCGAAGACAAGGAAGAGAAGGGCATGTATGCAGAACCCTCAAAAGAAGAAAGTTCGTGTCGACAAACTGAACCGAACACTCGCGACGCTAGTGCGTTGCCTGACGGAGATTTTCTGGCACCTCGGGGTGCCGCCTCCGTCCTATCCCGGACCCAACCTCGGGTCCGGGGCACATTGGCCACCTTCCCGGAAGAGACAGACAACGCTCGGGAGCCAGGAGACCCATCTCGAGACTCGACGAACCCGGTCCTAGGTGTCCGGACCCGGTTATGTCGTGTTCGGGGGGCGGGAATATCAGTGCTGTAACCGTCGGGAACACCCGGACTGGGTATTCGAAACAGGGAGACCTTCGTCCGGACTCGGATATCACCCCGGTATTCACTGCGGCCCAGATTGAGGCGATCTCCCGGGGCGATATGACCGGACTTCCCGACTCTCGACATGTGGATATCGAAGAACGTCTCTACCCGCTCACGCCCGCGGATCTGGAGCTACAATTGAAGGCGCTTCGCTCACAACGAAGGACGTAACCCATGCCAACATCGTCCGTGTGGTGACTACGGAGCTCAAACGACCGCTTACGGAGGCCGATAGTATACTATTCGACTCCCCGGTAGTTATCGACGACCCGGAAAGGTGGTTGGACTGGTTCTCGACAACCCTTAACACGTGCGAAGAGGCCCGCACTGGAAATCGAAACTTCGAGCAGGAACGAGTGGCCATGGTGGCTGACACTCGGTGGTCTCCGATGTTCCGGAACGGTATTGGAGCGGCAGAGCTTGCTGGTATTGGCCCTTACCCAGACCTCCAGGGGACCATCCCGGGAGTCCTGGCGGCTATCGGACTCCTCGCCTCCTCTGCGGATGGCCGGGCTCGCCTAAAGAAACGGGTCTCGATGGAGGGTGCGGTTATGTTCTATCTACCAGACATCGGGGTACAACTGACGCTACCCCTCCGGGACTTAGAAGCTACCCGACTGCACTCACACATCTGGAGGGTACGTCGTCGAACTCTGACCTCTCGGCGACGTTACCTCGAGTCCGCAACCGAAGGACTCGACCTGGGAGTGCCGTGATCGACCCAGACATCCCCCCACTCCTGCACGAATCCGAGGCTCCGGACAGGCGACACGACCCGAGTGTCCAGGAGGACTCTACACGTCTTGAAGTAGCGGGTTTGGAGGTACGGGAGACTATTCGGTGCATGGATTGGCCGTTCCAGGGCCTTGACGAGTCCGGATTCACGGCCCTCCTTCACTCCCGGACCCGCGATCCATATCCGTTGTGTGGCGTCATGACCGGATCTCTGGCACCACTTGTTCTGGCCACCATCGATGGCCATATCACACAAGCTTTAGTAGACACGGGCGCCTTGGTTACGGTCATTAGTCAGGAATTTTGGATGCTCCTGGGCCGCCCTCCTCTCCGTACCCCGTCGTACGGTCTAGTTTCAGCTGCGAACGCCGGCATTTCGACTCTGGGGTTTCGACACTGCAGCGTTACCTTGGCTGGTATTTCTACAACGTTCCCGGTCTGGGTTCTGGAAGACTCAGTCACCCCGTGCATCTTGGGAGTCAATCTCCTCCGGACGTTGCATGCTCTCGTTGACCTCGGACGGGACCAAGTATGTTTCGAAGGCAACCGAGTGACCCTCCCGTTTATCACCCCGGGAGAGCATGACCTCCCCAGACAGGACCGAACTGTAGCGCATCTCCGCCGGAAGGACGAGAACACCCCAGGTGCGCCCCTACAACGGGGGCAGACCCGGGTAGAGGACCGCCCCACCTTACCCTGACGGCATCGAAACCGTTCGCCTACGGAGCCGCTCTCGTCACATGATCTGTTGTTTGCTCTCCGATCCAGTCCCGGAAGGACACATGGTCCTCGTCGAACAACTGCAAGGTGCATTCCCGCTACAGGTCGCTCGATCGCTCAACCGTAGTCGGGCCAACGGTGTCTGGATCCAACTCCGGAACCCGACCGATTCGGTTGTCGAGATCCGACCTGCCGATGTTATGGCCGTGGCTACCCTGGTACCGACCTCAATACAAGACCTTGAGACGGCGGAAGCCACGGACCAGCACACGCCCCGGAGTGCGAGCTTTCAGGAAGGGGGAAGGGGCGACGCGGAAATGACAAATGAAATGTCAGAAGGGCGACACACACCCGGGAGGAGTATGTGCAGCACTCCAGAAGAGCAAGGACGAGGTCCCGATCGACTGGAAGGACTCCAGTCTCAGCCCGCCACAGAAATAACTGCTTCGGAAACTACTCTTGTGTTGTTCGTGACCACGTCGAAGGCTCCGGGACAGACAGACCTGGTGAAGTGCCATATCAATACGGCGGATGCCAGACCCATTAAGTCGGCACCCTTCCGGGTTACCCAAAAGGAAGGAGAGATCATGGAAGCCGAGATTCGTCAGTACCTGGAGCTGGGATTGATCCGGAAGTCCTCCATCCCCTGGGCGAGTCCGGTGTTGATGATTAGAAACCCGACGGCTCTATACGTTTCTGCATCGACTACCGGAAGCTCAACGATGTGACTGTCAAAGACTGCTACCCCATGCCCCGAGTGGACGACCTCCTGAACGTCCTCGGAAAATGCAAGTACTTTACAACGATGGATGTGGCCTCGGGGTACTGGAATGTCAGCATGGCCGAGGATAGTATCCAGAAGACGGCCTTCACGTGCAAATTTGGCCTGTACGAATGGCTGGTGATGCCGTTTGGACTGTGCAACGCGGTCCCGCAATTTGAGCGCTTGATGGAGGGAGTGCTCCAAGACTACCTGTGGCGTATATGTCTGGTCTACCTGGACGACGTAATCATCTTCAGCGAAGAATTCGGGACTCACCTAGTCCGGATTCAACAGGTCCTGACCTGCCTCCAGGACGCCGGATTCAAACTGAAGATGTCCAAGTGCCAGTGGGGACGGGACAGGGTCGCTTTCCTGGGGCATACGATAACTCCGGGAGGAATCCTTCCGAACCCAGAGAAGGTCAAGGCCGTCCTGAGAATCAAACCCCTGCGAAATGTGGCTCAGGTGCGGTCCTTCCTGGGGCTGGCAGGGTACTTCCGAAGATTCATAAAGGGATACGCTACCATCTCCCGACCCCTGGAACACCTCAAGGTGTCCGATACCTTCGAGTGGTCCCCCGAATGTCAACAGGCCCTGGATACCTTAAAAAGAAAGCTGGCCAGCCCTCCGATTTTGGCGTACCCGGACTTTGATCTCCCGTTCACGATCCTGGTGGACGCCTGTCCAATCGCCCTAGGGGCAGTCTTGATACAGGAACAGTGAGGGAGACACCGAGTAATAGCCTACGCGAGCCAAGCGCTAGATGCGACCCAGCGGAAATGGATCTCCAAGAAAGATGGAGTCTCTGAGATCGAATGCTATGGATTGGTATGGGCCACTGGCAAGTTTCGGCCTTACATCGATAGGCGACATTTCACGGTGTATATGGACCATGCAGCATTGGTTTGGCTATACAAGACCGGATCGAAGTCCGGGAACGGGAAGTTGGCCCGGTGGGCAGTACACCTCCAAAGCCTGGACTTCACGGTGATCCACCGGCCCGGGACCCTCATGGGGTGTGCGGATGGCTTGTCCCGACTACCCCTCGAAACGCAGGAGGACATGAAGGGAGGCCCCGGAGCCGTCGCTCTACGATGGGACCCGGAAGCGGAAGAATTCCAAACTCTCCCGTTACCTACGGGTGGGCCACGAGTGTGTGCAATCGCTAAAGGAGTGGTCGGAGCCGTAACACGGAGCCAGTCCCGGGCGACCGCGGCTGAGGATCCGGCCCCCTACCCTCCTGGCAAAGAAACTCCCAAGGAAGGACGACCCAAGGAACGGGAGACCAGACCCGGACCCTCCGGGTCCTCAACCGGTGAACTACAACCTTATCAAGACGATACCTACACGCTCCCGGACGCGTTACTCCGGCGTGAGCAGGCAAGGGACCCATTTGGGACGGCCATGAAAGCGTATCTGGAAGAGAACGCGCTCCCGCTGGACCTTTGGTTGATGCGACTGGTCTCCCGAACCTAAGAACATTACTCTGTGAAGGACGGCGTATTGTACCGGCGTGTTGTGTTAAAATCCCCGCTCCGAAACCCGCACATGAACCTGGTTCCGGTGATCCCCGTGTCTATGACCACAGACGTTCTGTCTCTATGCCATGACTCCCCGTTAGCTGGCCATTTTGGTAGGGAAATAACCTTGGAACGAGTACGCCGAATCGCGTACTGGCACCGGTGGAGGGAGGACGTGGCTGAATACTGTCGGTGCTGCGTACACTGCAGTGCGGCGAAGGGTACTCGGCCCTGGAGACAGGGGCGATTGCAAAGGATGCCTGTATACGATCTCCGGGGCCCCTTCAGTTTCGTTGTCGTTGATGCCCTGGGGCCATTGCCCTCGACTCGGGAGGCAACAAGTTCATCCTGGTCTTTATGGACTACTCACGAGGTGGGCCGAGGCTATTCCAGTCCCGGACTTGAAGACATCCTCCTTTCTCAGCCGGTACGGTGTCCCGGACAAACTGCTCTCAGACCGGGGGTCAAATTTCGTATCCAAGTTAGCTGAAACTATGTACCAGACTTTGGGAATCGACAAGGTCGCCAACGCTCCGGGGCACCCTCAAGGTCAGGGGCTGGTCGAACGGTTCAATTCTACCCTCGCCATGATGCTCAAAATGTACGTCAATGCGGCCCATACGGATTGGGACACCTACCTTCCCCGACTCATGTGGGCGTACCGGACCGCCCATCAGGAGACTCTGGGAGACACTCCGTTCTTCTGCATGTACGGAAGGGACCCGGTCCAGCCTCTGCACTTGGCATTTTCCAACCAGGAGCCGTTATGGAAGTCGGACGAGTTGCCGCAGTGGCGTCGGAAGCAGAGTGCCTGGTTCATGGCGACTCGGAAGTTGATTGAAGGCCAGCTGCTCCGGGGCCAGAACCGGGATGCCGCGTACCGGGATCGACAGAGAAAAGTGGAGTTCAGTCCCACCGACTCTGTATGGGTATACCAACACTTTCATAAGTCCCGGAACCCTGAGGACGTCCGGGTCCAGAAGCTGGCTTACCATTGGCACGGTCCGTACTCCAAACAGGGCGACAACACGTACCGAATCTACCTGCCGTCCCACCCGAATCGGATAGTGCCCATCAACGTCGATCGCCTGAAAGCATTTCACGGATACTGGACCCGACCCTTCAATGACGAGGTCCCGGAACAGTACGCGGGACCGCAAGTGATGACACGGTCCTGGAAGACGACTTACTGCCCCGATCGAGCTTTGTGGAACGAGTCGACTTCCCTGATGGAGACGTGGCGTACGCGAACTCTCATTCCCCGATCCTGCGCATACTGGACAATCGACACGACGAAGCCCGGGAAGTGGAGTACTTGGTGCAACACGCTGACGATACGACCCACTGGACACGGCGATCGCGCCTGGTCGATTACAATTCATTTATCACGGAATACGAGAATGAGTCACGGACACAGCAGGGACTCCCGGTACTGCGCCGAAGCCCCCGACTCGCCGAGTTGGACATGGAGGGCGAAGTCCGGAAATACTAGTCGACCACCCGGGAGTCGCCGGGCCCGGGGGAAATCCCCGGGACAAACGACATTGCACGTTATATGGAATGCATTTACAAAAAAAAAGAAGAAACAATTATATGTCGATTGGGAGACTTAGTCGGCATCGGTACGGGAGCCTTCGGAGGAATCATCCAAGACGACGGGATTCGCGGCCGAAGCGGGCGCAGTCGAAGTGGGAATCCCTAGCGGAGCCTGACGAACGGGAAGCGGCGGATCGGGAGAGCCAGGAGTCAGGCCCTGGGGAGGCCTCAGACCGCGTGCCCACTCAGAACCGACTGGGGGATGCGAATGCGAGCCCACGATGAACGGATACACCCCGCCGACATTTCCTGCGTCCCGAGCCGAGATGGCCTCCTGGATCATCCATCCGAAGGCAGACGAGTTGGCCGCGCGAGTACAGACCGCCGGGTTCAAGAGTTTAGCGCGCAATGTCCGGCCATGCAACCAGGACAGGACGGACATGAACGAGGGAGCGAATGGTTTCGAACGACCCAAGAAAGACACGACTGGCCACCACTCAGGACCTTGAGTCTGGACGTAATCGGCCACCGCCTGACCGCCGTGCAAGGTGATTAGATTTCGCAAGGACACTCTCTCTTGAAGGAATTCCGGCCAGTAGGAGTGCGGGTAGCACAGAAAGCGCAGCAGTTGGACCCCGTACGCCTGGACTACGCGGAACAGGCTCCCGTCAATCCCCAACAAAGGTCCCATGAGAGCCTCGATCTCGCGTTCGGCCGCGCCGGACGACGTCATAAACGAACGGTTCCAAATCGAGTGTGCGTACTTCTGCCAAAACGAAGGGACCGGTCCAATTCTCGCCATTCTGGGAGCTGATGCCACGAAAGCGGAACGAACGACACCTGGGTCGTCGAGTAGCGCACCCAGGGGCTCCTCGCGACCACGGCGGCATACGCCGAATCGACCGGGGGTGGTAAGGAGGCACCGAGGGGTCCCGCGGCATCAGGGTCGGAGCGTCGGGCCTTTTTCGTCAACTGCGTCGACGCTCCGGGAGAGGGACGTTTCGAAGACGGAGTCGACATCTGGGCAGCTGGAAGATTTGTTGGGACGCTGCTCGAGGTGCTTCAGGGGCCAGGAGAGGCCATACCCGAGGCCCTTGTGGTCTGGACCGCCCTTGAGGCTCCCTCCGAAGCCCCCGACGTTGAGCTGAGGCTCGAAGCCGCGTCCGCGGATACTGTACCGGTAGTCCCGGGGGTCATGGACGACCCCGATTTTGTTGGGACCAAAGTCATCGTGCGGGTAGGCCCGGGAGACCCCTGGTATGACGCCGGTCCGGATAGCGAGGTCGGGGTCGGAAGGGTCGGGACAGCCAGGCTATGTGACCTTTGGTCCCGGGCCAGGACCGCGGACCAATTGTCATACGACACCCCGAGGATTCGGCCCCGAGCTCGTGTGGACGGGGGTTGTCGCGTCGGGAAGGCGAATATGGAAAGGTTCTCACAGTTGTCTTCGAAGAGGGCTGGGTCGTCCCGGACCCACGCCTCTAGAAGCCGGTCAAACACCGGCCCGCTCGTCACGCGGAAGTGCGCACTGACCCAGTCCCAGAAAGCGGGGACGACGTCCGGGAATCGCTGCGTGGCGGTCGCCAGAGCCCTGGACGCCTCTCGGTGGCCTGCTACTTCGACCCGGTACCTTTCTTCAACCTCTGCGACTTCCTCCTCGTGCGACCGCTGTTGTCGGTCCAGCTCGCGTACTTGATCAGCCATTGAGGATAACTGGGCTTGAATGGCGTTTTCTACCCGAGTCGCCAAGTCTTTGTACTTTTTCGCCTCATCCTGAGCTTCGCGAAGCCGAGTCCTGAGTCCCTGGACTTTGCCCAACAAAGCCACGACCTCCGGAGGCTGTGCGGCTTGCACTCTAGCGGCCGGAGCTGCCACCGGGGCTACGGGAGCCATACAACGCTCCTGCGTTCCGACCCGAGCAAGAGCAGAGGAGGCTGCCTGATTCTTCCCGGCTAGTGCCTCAGTCTCGGTCTCCTGTGCCTGACGTCGGTTGTCGATCTCGGTATCGGCCCTCTTCGGATTCAAAAAGGCTAGCGAGGCTGCACCTTCCCTCCAGGGCCTGAGGGGGGGCGTAGTCCTGGCGTTCCGTCGTGTCACTACCTCTTCGCCTTCTCCATGGACCACCGCTGTCTGTAACTTCCAGACCCGGCGTTTTTCGGACATGGTAGCGGCCAGTTGGACGCTCAGACGTTGTTGGGTGAATCCCAGATCATCGGAGATTCGTTCTTTTTCGGCGAGTGCTTGCTCCAGATAGGTGCTCAAATTGACAGCTCTACGTTTACAGGTACGGAGTTCTGTCCGGAGTCCACGGACGCACTCTTCCAGCTGGTCGCGCTCGGTGTTGGCCTGGTCCCGTTCCTGTTCAGCCTTCTCCCGGAGCGCCATTTCGGCCTCCCGTTCCTCTCGGGCCTGTTTCAGTGCATCTCCAAGGCTTTCGACCTCCTCATTTATTCGCCGGAGGGCCGCCGGCATAGTGTGTGGTCCGTTCGGTAGGAGTCTGGCCAGGACGACTCGGAGTGCCGCCTCGATCCGCACGGTCCGGTCCAGGCGGTCCAGGAGGGCCTGATTGCTGACGGCCGACACGGACAACGCTTCAAACAGCCCCCGGAAGGTGTATTCGAGGTTGGACGCCGGACTATGCCCTGCGGATGACGTTCCGATCGATGCTCCCCGAGCTCCGGACTGGTCAACAAGGTCCGGGTTGGGGTCCGGGTCCACATGGGTCGGTGGGGTTGGCGACGGGAGCTCGAGCAACAACTGTATTTGGGCGGCGACTTGATCGATGTGCGCTGCAAAGGTCGGTGTTACTATGTGGCTCATCCGAGCGGCCGGTGCGGCCAAACCTGCACCGGATGAGCGTGCCGTGTGGGGAGGCGTATGCCCGGCGGAAGCTTTCTCCATTGGGTTTGGCGGATTTTGCTTTGTGTGTGACGGCTGGCTACGATCCAACTGGTCCTCGCCGTAGCTCGGACTTAAGCCGAGCGAGCTACGGGCTCGGTCCTTAGCCTTGGGGTGCTTGCCGAACTTGTTTAGTCCCTGGGGGGTCTGAACCCAGGACGACCACGGACAAGACCCTGAGCTCTATTATAGGGCTCCCGGACCAGACTCCGGACGTCCTGGACCTGGATTATCCATTAGTCATACTCTTTTCTTTGAAGCTAAACCAACTAACTCGACTTTACATTTTGCCCTGAACTACGCGTTTGGTGTTTTACACGCTTGCCTACGCCGCACCTACCCATTCGATTTGTCGTGAAACCCCGCGACACTTGCACGCCGATGGGACCCCAGCATCAAATGGTACAATCAACTATCACTGCCACACATCGTAATCCGTTTTCACACAACTTAGAGTGTATTTGATGGAGTGGTGGTGAGATGCGCAGTGCCGGTGGTCACAAGCGCTGCGCATGTCATCACCATGCCACCAAGTACCGAACAAAATAGTGTCAAAACTTGGTGGCCGTTGGTGGTCGATTTAGAGGAAACACAGAGTCGATGTGACATGGCTAGTCGTGATGATGTACTGCATGTACTGTACAATGGAGTGATGGGGTGGTCACATGTGCAGCAATCGTAGTCACTGGGGTAATGTTAGCAGGGTTTTTGGGCATTAATCTGGAGCGTAGGGGTGGGGTGGTAGTGGTTTAGGTGGTAGGTAATCACTTGACTGCTAGTCAGTACCACCACCACCCCACCAACCACCATCCAGAATTACGATAGTCAAAGTCGCAACTACCGGGGAACGGTAGTTGTGCCTGCTGGGGCTCCAGAGGCCGTGACTGGGGTCTTGTCTACTGCTGATCTCGAC